CAAACAGACATCACGCTTTTGAAATAGATGTTGAGTACCATTTAGCCTTTTGTGAGCTCCATTTTTCTTTTTCTCATAAAAATGTGATCCCTTTGTTGTTGGAACTGCTTAGGGCAAAAATCGTACATACCTTACTCTAACTTGTGTTGTAGTAATTAGTGTTCTAATGTTCTTATGTAAACATTGAGTAGATCATTAGCTGTTTGAAGACATATTTATTTGTCCTGTGTCCCTCATCACAGTATCTACCATAAAGTAGGGCAGTCGTGATCCATAAAATTCTGGTAGGGATAAAAATAAAATAATAAGCCCTTTACTTCAATCTCCTCCTCCAAATAGAACTGTGCCCAAATGATTTCCTTTGGTATTCATTGAAAAAAAAATTTTAAATTTGAGTCTAGATCTCATTAGGGAGAATGAAGAGGTTTGAGAATGTTCCTAGTGAAAGTTGGACTTAAAGCTGAAAGAGAGTTGGGACGATACTGAAGCATTTGGAGAGGAGAGAGAAAGGGAGGATGGGGGGGACTGAAACATTTGGAAAAGATGAGGAAAAAAAGCAAAACAAAAAGTGAAAAAGAGGGTGTCCAAAGAAATTAGGAAAATACTAAGATGATAACATATCAAGTATGGTACAGTACAAGATGATCATAAAAGGTTGGGATTAGTAACCTGTGACTCTTAAAGCATCTCGTCCAGAGATGAGTGAGGGTATAATGGATTTTAATTGAAATCTTCTTTAAAGACATTTATAATAAAGAATTTCACAAGTTTGCATCACTTACCAAACACAAAGTATTAGATATGTTGTGAGAACGTAGAGACAAACACCATGTTCTATTTCTTAAACATGCTACATTGTCTAGCACAATGTTGTATTAGGCATGCAACATACACACAATAAATATCGTTAAGCTGGCTGGCCATAGGAGCAAGAAAAATTGTATTGTTGGAGTAAGACCCCAGGAGGATGCGATAGAGACATGTAACTCCAGCTGCGCCCTTACACTGATGTTGGGAAGCTGAGAAGAGAAGGAGGTCAACACATTGCAGTGATGAAAGTGTTGGCTGACCCTTAGCCAAGGTCTTGAATCAACAACAACAAAAAGGAAAATACCATTGAATCAGTGGGAGGGCATTGGTACTGAAAACAGATTGGGAGCAGATCAGGTCCAAAAGAATGTCAAAATATCAGCTAGGAAGGTCCAAGTTTTCAAGAATGCCAAGATATGGGAAGACATTCCTAGCACGTCTGTTCATAGAGAAATGTATGCTATCATAAGAAGAGGGAATTGGGTAACACATTCTGGGACCTATTGGATGGAGATAGTGTCAACCAAATTAATAGATAAATGAGATAAAAGGGAGAAACAGGTAAATGTAAAGGCAGGAAGAAAAGAGAACAAAGGGTTAGAGACACAGAATGTTATTTGTGTTTTAAAATGATGTTTTGGCTTTTGCTAAGAACAATTCTTAAAATGAAGGGCCCGATTATTAGTTACTATGACTCACTTTTTTCAAGATTAATATACATCAGTTGATTTTTTGTTATACTCTGTATGAAAAAAAATTTAAGAGTTCTATTTTTAGAAAGGATATGATTGTCTTTTCTATTTGAGATATCACTTTATCTAAACTCACTATGAAAAAGAGGCTCAATAAATAAAGCCCAAAAAATGAATTAAACTTTATTTCTAAAAGTGTCTCAAACATGAAGGAGTCACTGTATTCCCTGCCCACCCTGAAGAAATAGGGATTTGTGCTGAATGTGATCTACATAATTAAATCCAAAATATTACCATATTTATAATACCCTCTGATAATGTTTCATCATAGTTACCCTTCTAAACTTCTGTTTTAATTTCTTATTTACTAAATGCCAAAATAGAAAGAAAAGGAGGCTTGTTATATTTTACAGTCTAGAAATATTGTAATGACACCATGATAACTATGCCAAATACTAGGCTGGCTTAAAGTGGATGGAAAAATAGCCCAGCGAGTGGAAACTTCAATTGTCCATAAACACCAGAGCGAAAGACAACTTTCCTTGAGGCCATACTCCAAATTCCACTTAAGCCAATTGACTCTGGATGGAAAAAAGCAAGCCCAGCTCATAAAAAGAAGGTTCATACCTGAGTATTATTTTACCTCCCCTCCAACAGCAACGACATGACCTTGTGTAAGAAGGAGACAAATCTCTTCGATTACTCATTTAGAACAGAAGCCAGAGGAGAAAACATTCCTCACCCTTCTGGAGAAGCCCAACTCAACATCACTAGCAAAGCCACGGAACAAAGACCATTGGAGAGTTCCCACATAGCCTCATGCTCCTGAGAAAAGTTGACCTCAAACTGGGCTGAGATGCACTCAGGTGTGGAGCACATCTGAACTCTCATCACATTGGGTGGTCCAGTTTGGACACCTCCTTCAGGAGAGAAGTCAAGAACAACTCCCCTTATCATTATACCGCCATATTAAAAAACATAATTGTTTAGAGAAAGGGAATTCGTATCTGAATTCTGACTTCTGGCCCTCAATCTATTGTTAAATTTATCACATCATTATGAACAAGCCAACTAAACTCAGTTTCCTAGGATATTTTTGAATAGTAATTGAAAACACAATGTCACAAATAGGAATACGATTAGAATTCATGTGAGGATGTCATGTAGGTGAGAAAGCAAGGGTATTGTCAAAGAAAAAATAAAAGATTTAAAGTTAAAATATTTGACATCAAAGATTAATTTTATTGAATAAAAATGATTCAACTATCTGGAAATCTTATTTCTCTCTGTTGTTTTCCGTTGTTTCAGGTTTAAAATTTATAAAATTTTATAATTTTATATTTATAAAAGGGCCATTAGCTTTACTGAAATCTTTCAAAAAATGAAAATGCTCATTAAAAAGAAATGTAGGTCTTGCTACACATTGCTATATGTGAAGCCCAAATAAGGCACATGGAAAATGTCAATAAATTAGGAAGTTCATGATTCCAAATCTCATGATCTCATGAAAAGAAGTCTAAAAAAAACAGAGAATTATATATAATACATACAATACATTAGACTATAAATATAGTTAGGTATACTTTATTACTCTAATTCTCTGTAATATCTCATTTAAAGTCAGATAATTTAAAAGTCATGTATTAAATAGTACTTGTGTATATCTCAAGCTCTACCTTTGAGAACATAATGCATTTGCATCCAGAAGCAAACAGCTGGAACACAGCAACTAATAATGCTGTTACATGTGGCTTCAGATGGGAGTTCCTTATAGTGGCTTTTCACTAAATGAAGAAAAAGATGTCCCAAAGGGAATCAGTGAGCAGTGGCAGGAAAAAAGATCATCTTCTATGTATTTAGAGCACAATTAGAGAATTTAAGGCCCAAGTTTCTTAAAGCACAAAAGAATGGCATTAGAGTATTTTTGAAAAAATATATAATTTTTAAAAATCTCATCTAATTTAAATGAAAACGTATAAATATTGCCAGTCTGAAATAACTCATGTCCCAAAGGGAGAAAAAAAAAAGATAATATTCATTCTAATTTCCTCTGAATTTAACTGGACTACATATTCCTTAATGATTTGGCCTTTAAAATGCATAATTTACTTAAAAAGAAACATAATGAAGATGGAAAATACAAGCTTTATTTTCTGCGTTGGGAGACTTCTCTTTTGTTTCATTCTCATTACCTGTTAATATTTCTACATATCAATGCATTCCTAGATAATTAAGGGGCTAAAATGGGCTCTGCTGTTTCATCAATTCCATGTTTGCCTTGGATCATAAAATTGCTTCATTATGTTATTAGTTCAAAAGCTCTTTTTGGTAATTTACCAAGTCTTCTCCCAGATCCCTTACTCCAGTGCGCGCACGCGCACACACACACATACAGACACGCACGCACACACATACACCCCACCCCTTTCTCAAGCTGCTAAAGCAAAATGCTTGATAACTCTTAAAATGCTCAAGGATGGGAACTTTACTATTCTCTCCTCTTAGGACCCCCACCCCTCCTATTTTCTGAATGTATTCCCAAACTTACAAAGCAGCTCTTAATAGACACAAGGGTGAGTTAACAATAAAGCGGATCTATACGGCATGTATGTGTTCTTGTATGAGCGCGTGTGTGTTGTGTCGTGTTATGTCATGGAAAAAGGGGTGTGTGTGTGTATGGAGAAGAGAGAGAAGGCTTCACGTTCAGTCTATTAAGTAAGAAAGGAGTTGAATATATTCCTCTCAAAAAAATTTCATAACTTATTAGAAACATCAACTTAGAAACTCTCAATATCTAGTCGATTAGTAACAAATACACCCTAGGTTCATATGGGTCAAATTAAAAGTTTAAGGGTCTATGTACAGGGCAGTTCTTTATATGGGACTCAGGGGGCATCTTCTAAGCTTTGGGTCTAACCATTTCTGGAACCATTCCTGGGCTGTCAGGTGGGAATAAGGGTGCCAGTGGTTCTGTGAGAGACGTTCCATGTCAGCTAGCATTGGGAGGAACAAGCCCCCACAGTTTACCTAGAAATGCCAGCTAAGAGTCATGGGCTGGCCGGCCCTGGGGCAATCAGAGAATCAGAGAGAGGATTGGAAAATGAGAGCTGCTTGTTCAGGCTGCCTTACTTTCTCTTCAACTACCCAGCCACAGACACACCTACTAAAGCTCCCGGTTTTACAAAAAGCAAAGATGCACTCTCCCGCCCTGGCCTGCTCTCCAGCTGGCAGCTGGAACAGGGTCCAAATGCACGCTTAACATCACAAAAACTTCTCACACTTACCTAAGCACTCCCTGACGAACCTAACCTCACTCCCCCAAAATATGCCTCCCTTCGTCCCTGAAGCAAGTCAGTTTTGAAAGCGGTCCTATCAGCAACGACACCAGGCAGCCTCTCTCACTCCTACCACCATCATCGGCTGGCACCCAGAAAAGTGGCACAGGGTGAAGGCAAACTCGAAGAGCCCTCCGAGAAATCGTGCGTTCTTCTCACTTACTTTGAGTTGCAAATGTCCGCTCTGGCGCTCAGGCTGCCTTTGTTGCGAGGGGCGAGGTTGCTACTGCCGAGTCCAGGTATGGGCGGCTCGCTGCAGCTCTGGGTGGCTGCGGCTCTCCACGCCTTCTGGACGGATGAGTCACTGGTCTCTTTCTTCCCCTCTCCCCACTTTGGATTTTCCTCTGCTCTGGGGCTCTCTTGGCGGGATTTTTGGACTGGAAGGCGGGGAACCTGATCCTGCCTTTGACTCAATTACGCCCCAACAGGGAGGGAACGGAAGGGAAATGGAGAATGGGAGTGATGAGAGGAGCGGGCCAGGAGGACGCAGGCTGGGCGAGGGAGGGAGAGCGCTTTGCGCTCCAGAGCTGATTGGGAAGCTTATTAAAAGCAGAATACTCCAGGGGCAGTCTCTCCCCATGGAGCAAGAAAAGGGATTTGAACTAAGAGGCCAGGAGATGGCATTTTGTTTTGTTTTTAGCAGAGACCAAACACAGTATTTCTCTTCCAAACTCCATGCATTATCAAGTCTTCAGATGGTGCAAAGCCACTTTGCCAACTGGGATATTTTAAATGAACAATTGACTGCATTTTAGGTTACAGTTTTGGCCCCACACAATTCTTTAATGATATTCAGGATGAAAAAGCACTCTCGCTGGGCGCGGTGGCTCAAGCCTGTAATCCCAGCACTTTGGGAGGCTGAGGCGGGTGGATCACAAGGTCAAGAAATCGAGACCATCCTGGTCAACATGGTGAAACCCCGTCTCTACTAAAAATACAACAAATTAGCTGGGCATGGTGGCACGTGCCTGTAATCCCAGCTACTCAGGAGGCTGAGGCAGGAGAATTGACTGAACCCAGGAGGTGGAGGTTGCAGTGAGCCGAGATCGCGCCATTGCACTCCAGCCTGGGTAACAAGAGGGAAAGTCTGTCTAAAAAAAAAAAAAAAAAAAAAAAATAGAAAAAGCATTCTCTTCAAACCAGCCTCTTCTTTCCCACCCGCCAAAGCCCTCCCTATACACAGAGGCAGTTACCCAGCTGTGAGTCACATCTCATCTGCAAAGCACAAAATGTACAAAGTACTTTTTCTCAATTGTCACAAAGAGTGACAGACGTCTGAAAACTCCCAATTAAGTACTACTTACCTTTAGGGAGAGCTCTCTCCTTTTTTGGTTTCCTTGGTGCCTTTAGTGACCTATTTAGTAACATGCCTTTGACACCCAAGAATTTAGAGGATGTGTCAATGTAGCTCAAATGCTGAGGTTTGTAAAAGTTGGAGGCTGGGCTTTGTGTCTCTCTGAAATTTTCATTTCATTCAGTTGAGGAAAGATGCTAAGTCAATGCAGAGGTAAGTATTCATGATACAGATGAGATACAAGTATTGTATTAAGATTAAGATGCATTACACAAATTTACCCAAACATTTTCAAAATGTAAATCTCGAGATTTTCTGCTACTTACCAGCTTTTCCTGCTCCTTGGCTAGTTCCTTTCACTTACTTTTACCGCTCAGCTTATCATTTGATGGTGTCCTCCCAAATTGATAGTAAAATAGACTTGCATTTTTCATAGTTCTGAGGTTACATCCCTTCGTTTCAATTTGACAAATATTTATTAAGCAACTTATTTACTTAGAGCTATCCCCAAACCCCTAAATTAGAAGCATTGTGGTGGCAAGTAGTTTTTAGGGATTTGGGGATCTTATATTGACTGCTACCTGGAGAAATATCCCATGGAGGAGTCAGCTGGAACCAAAGAGGTAGCTCTATAAATTTAATCAAGTAGTCAAACTATTCAAAAGAAATGGCATCAGACATGCACTTACACACTTACAGCTTATCCCCCTTCCCAAACTCTTCATACACATACCATAAACAATTCTCAAATGAAATAACTAAATAAGGAAGCTGTGTTCCTTTCTCCTACACACAGGCCTCAAGTTACCTATTTTCCTTTTGTAATTCCACTTCCCCATGAAGCAAGCAGTGTTTGTTTTAATCAGATTTCATTTGTATAAAGTGTGGAGGAATGCACATTATCATTTTTATTAGCGTTTTCCCCGGTCCCTTTACTGAAAAAGATGTCTCAGCATTTTGTTAACAGGAGCAAAATTTCCAAGCCATTGAACAAAGAGTTATCCATTTTCTTTCTGTTCTTCAGCTTTATCTTAACATATACAAATGTAACATACTGCTGCTACCAGTTAGGTGAACAATGCTGACTTGATTGAGGTGCTCTCTATAGGGTTGACAAAGTAAGCATGAGATTCCCATGATTTCTACTCAATTACATATGTTATATCAGAAATATCACCCTTTATTCAGATAGGGATATACTAAAATTGCATACATCAGTGGTTATCCATTGGGAGCAATTTTGCCCTCCAGGAAAAGTGAATAATGTCTGGAGGTAGTTTTAGTTGTCACAGCTTGGGGGAAGGGGTTGCTCTGGCATCTAGTACATAGAGGCCAGGGATGCTGTTTAACATCTTACAATGAATAGGACAGCCTTTGTTACCAGAAAGGGGTCCTGGTCCAGAACCAAAGAGAGAGTTCTTGGATCTCAGTTGCAAGAAAGAATTCAGGGAAAGTCTATAGAGCAAAGTGAAAGCAAGTTTGTTCAAGAAGTAAAGGGATAACAGTTACTCCATAAGTAAAGCAACCCCAATGGCTGCTGGCTGTCCACTTTTCTGGTCATTTTCTGATTATATGTTAAACAAAGGGTAGATTACTCATAAATTTTCCTGGAAAGGAGTGGGCAGCTCCCAGAACTGAGGGTTCCTCCCCTTTTTAGACCATATATGATAACTTCCTGATATTGCCATGGTATTTGTAAATGATCATGGTGCTGGTGGGAGTGACTTTTGGCATGCTAATGTGTTATAATTAGCATATAATGAGCAGTGAGGATGACCAGAGGTCATTCTCATGGCCATCTTTCTTTTGGTGGGTTTTGGCTGGTTTCCTTAAAACAAGCTGTTTTATCAGCAAGTTCTTTATGAGCCATATCTTGTGATGACCTCATACCTGATCCTGTGACTTAGAATGCCTAACCTCCTGGGAATGAAGCCCAGTAGGACTCAGCCTTATTTACCCAGCCCCTATTCAAGATGGAGATGTTCTGGTTCAAGGGCTCTGACACTTCCACAACAAAGAATTATTTAGCCCAAAATGTTAACAGGGCTGAGGTTAAGAAAACCTAAGAGTTTTTACCACGGCATTTTAAAAATGCAAAGAAAGATTAAAGAGAGCCTGTTTTGTTAATAAATATAACTTTATGAGATAGAGATTAGTCACAATTTAGTTCAATCCAGCATTTACCTCAAAGTTGAAGTAGAGTACGTTCTTTAATACATACTGAAATATTCAATCTCAAATCCAAACTTCATCCTAGGGCATAGTCAAGAGTCTGTCCATTCGAGATTCTGAGTCATTTACTTCATTAGGCTAATACTCTTTAAGCACTGAAACACTTAAGTCTTTAGGTTAATAGAGCCATGAAGAAAAACTGTTGACAGTTCCTACTCTCAGACAGCCTATGTTGTTGTTCTTAATGAGTCAATTAAAAGTTTTTAATAGATGTGAAAAGTGACAAATTTTTGTAATCTACCCAACTGACAAAGGGCTAATATCCAGAATCTACAAAGAATTTAAACAAATGTATAAGAAAAAAACAAATAACCCCATCAAAAGTGGGCAAAGGATATGAACAGACACTTTTCAAAAGAAGACACATGAAAAAAACCTCATCATCACTGGTCATTAAAGAGATTCAAATCAAAACCACATTGAGATATGATCTCATGCCAGTTACAATGGTGATCATTAAAAAATCAGGAGACAAGAGATGCTGGAGAGGATGTGGAAAAATAGGAATGCTTTTATACTATTGGTGGGAGTATAAATTAGTTCAGCCATTGTGGAAGACAGTGTGGTGATTCCTCAAGGATATAGAACTAGAAATACCATTTTATCCACCAATCCCATTTCTGGGTACATACCCAAAGGACTATAAATCATTCTATTATAAAGACATATGAACACATATTTTTATTGTGGCACGGTTCACAATAGCAAAGACTTGGAACCAACCCAAATGCCCATCAATGACAGACTGGGTAAAGAAAATGTGGCACATATACGCCATGGAATACTCTGCAACCATAAAACAGGATGACTTCATGTCCTTTGCAGGGAGATGGATGAATCTGGAAACCATCATTCTCAGCAAACTGACACAAGAACAGAAAACCAAACACCACATGTTCTCACTCATAAGTGAATGTTGAACAATGAGAACACATGGACACAGGGAAGGGAACATCACACACCAGGGCCTGTCAGGAGGTGGGGGCTTGGGGGGAGGCAAGGGGAAGGATAGCAGAGGATGGGGGGATTGGGGAAGTTTAGCATTAGGAGAAATACCTAATGTAGATGACGGGGTGATGGATGCAGCAAACCACCATGGCACATATATACCTGTGTAACAAACCTGCACATTCTGCACATGTACCCCAGAACTTAAAGTATAATAAATAAATTAAAAAATAATAATAATAAATTATTGGAAGTTTTATATTATTCTTTTTTCTAGTTGAACTTGTATTTCTACTTCACTTGCCCAACCAAACCATATCCTATTGTAATATATTTTTATGCTTCTTTTGGTAATCACCTCACTTCTCTATTAAAAAAACAGCTTACAGATTTTAATTTTAATTAAAAATTTAATTTAAAAATTAAAAAATAAGACAATTATGGAAGATAAAGTGTGAATTTGGAGGAGAAAAGTTTTCTTGGGATGATATTTGACAAAGACTTAAAAGAATTGAGGATGCTGGCCAAGCAAATATTTGAGGGAAGAGCCTGTAGGCAAAGGCATCAACAAAGGCAAAAACTCTGAGCTCTGACCTCATGCCAAGCTTTTTGGGGAAGAAAAGGAGGCCACTATGGCAGGAAGTGAGAGGAGGTAGAGGCATTAAGGGAAGTAAGGAGCCAGATCACCTAAGGCCTTTGTCCATTGTAAGGAATTCCCTTTTTCTCTGAATAAGGTGGAAAGCCAAGAAGAGTGACTAAATCTGACTCTGATTTATAAAGTCCTTTCTGCAGTGTTGAGTAGACAGGAGGATGAGGGTGGAAGCAGAGCACTCAGTAGGAGGCTACTGCACTAACCTACTCCCCAAAAGTCTTTCCCTTGTTCCTGTTTCTTATGCAAAATAATTAACTCCAAACTTGCCCTTTAACACTTTTTCTGACCACACAAACTCCTGTCAGCAGTGACTTTGGCTTACTAATGCCAATTCTCAGCCTCTCCAGGTGTAATGAACATGCCCCTTGCATGAGTGTTACCAGGCCAAAATCTAACT